TGTGAGCGACCGGATAGGTGGGGTCCACTACGAATGAACGTGTACGAGAGCATACTTACGGTAAATGACCACATAAACGGGCATAAAGGGACAATACGCTGATGAATATCAAATGACCCTGGAGTTGAAAGCAGCTAGAGATTCTTAAAAATCTAATCATCCTAGTGTAATCATATGCCAATTTTATAGGCCAAAATACTCGTACATAAAGGGGAGATTAATATGTAAACGGGATCTCTCTCGCTTTTACATAAAGGGGAGATTAATATGTAAACGGGATCTCTCTCTCTCTCTCTCTTTTTTTCTTTTTTAAGGGCAAGCAACAAAGCTCTCTAAACCCAAGATAGTATTCTTTTTCATTCTCCTCTCCTCACCGCCTGCTCTCTAAACCCAAGATAGTATTCTTTTTCATTCTTCTCTCCTCACCGCCTCGCTCCTTTTCACTCTATTCTTGGGTGTGATTTCACATACAAAATAGGCTTCAACATATATATATATATATATAAAAGATATTTTATAGTAACGTACCGGGTTGCAAGCATACTATAACATAACAAAACCAAAAGCCCATCAATAGACCAGTTTATTTCTAGAGTTCAGCTTTCCATGCCTAATATTACACTAAACAAGTACCAGCTCTGCATAAAAATAACCGAAGTAAATAAGCAAATCACAACAATGTGTACCTTCGCCCACTGAAGCCTAATTGCTGGCCTGATGCAATTCCGGGCAGACAAAATCAGTGAAGCCTAATTGCTGTCCTGACGCAGTTCCGGGCGGACAAAATCAGCATTAGGCGGCACAGATATGTCCACGGTCGGCCTCAGCTGAGCACAAACCTCAATTGCCCCATGAACTGGATCTGACAGAAAGTTGCTGATGAGATCCTGATTAATTTCAGCGCCCTGATCCACAGCAACCAATGCCTGCTGGGTGAGGATATAGTCAAAGCGTGGTGCCCACTTCCTCGATCCCAGACGAGCTGTTGTCGAACAATTGTCGACCATGAATGCCACTCCACGAGCATGCATGAAAGGATTGAGGGAATCCACTGATTCAATAACACTTTCATTGATGATCTCTGAATAAGAATGCCCCTTCTTCCTCAAAACCTCAATCTACAGAAGAATCACATAAATGGTTCAATACATTTAGATAGCAGCGACAGTTATAAGAAAAAAGATGTTACGTGTACCTGAGCCATCATTAAAGCAACATAAACACCAGCTGTAAAGGGGTGCAGTGGGCCGAGATCACCCTCAGGTCGGGTCGCACGGACTCTTTCGCCAACTTTCCACATTCGAGTTTGATCAATTTTTCCCATTGGGAAAGCGGGAAGGCCTTCTTTTTCCTGTGAAAGAAAAATAACCAACTCACTCTACTTCCCATTCCCTTAATAGGAATATAGCTGAATATAAAAGAATGGAGAAGCATAAAATGCCACACAGCTAAATTACTATTTGCTGCTAACTAGGGGATTAATTGAACTAAGCTGACACATGAGCTGGATCGAGCTCAGCCGGATAAATGGCTCATGAGTTGAGCACAATGAGCTACCAAGTCAAGCTCAAGCTGGCCCGCTCGACTCATTAGCTCGTGAGCAAGCTTGTTTAAAATAAAACTAATATCAAAATATCAAAATATATTAAAATTCAAAACATTAAATCTAAAGTATTAAAAATATAGGGCATTTATATACATATCCCTCAATTCCTATGTATTTGCATATCTAACACCTAAAATTTACTTTTTACATTTATCCAACCCAAATCATTCATGTCGTATAAAAAATACCATCATTTTAACTTTTAAAAGGTGAAATACACCTTTTCATGCAAGCATGTATGTAAAAATTAAAGTTTAGGTGTTAGATATATTGAGTGTTATGTACCTCAATTCCTATGTATTTGCATATCTAACACCTAAAATTTACTTTTTACATCTATCCAACCCAAATCATTCATGCGTATATAAAATACCATCATTTTAACTTTTAAAGGTGAAATACACCTTTTCATGCAAGCATTTATGTAAAAATTAAAGTTTAGGTGTTAGATATATTGAGTGTTATGTACCTAAATTTTCCTGAAAATATTAAAAAAATTATAATTTACATTTTAGATTAATAAATATTTTTTTATTGATCTCCTGATTGTTCATTCCATTTGTCATGTTATTATAACATAATGAATATTATTTTCTCTATTTCAAAATAAATAAGCCGGCTCATGAACCAGCTTAATCTCAAGCTTGAACTAGATTATTTAATCAAGCACAAGTTTAAGCCAAGGGTGGCTCGAACTCAACAGGACTAATTAACACTATATATATATATATATAACAAATTAGCTTACATAGAAGCGTCGACCAGCTAAGACGACACTACGAATCTCGCTTCCTGTTGCAACATCCTCGTAACACTCGTACAATATGTCCATGCAAGGATAATAGGAAGCACTATAAGCCGCGTTGAAGTCCTTTTTCCCTTCCTCGGTCAATGAATTGTATACAGAGAGCATCCCCTAAAATTTGTATGGATTAGAATTGAGGTCAATCATCCAATATAACGGTCAAATACTTGTGGCATAGAGCTACCTTAGTTGAGATGGTCTTCGATATAATTCCAGTTATGCCCTCGACGGTATTCTTATAGGCCAATTCCTCATCCATACCTCTTTCAGTATATCGTCTGAATAGAGCCTCCACAATTCCATGCACAGCCCCAAGTAAGATACCTGGAAATACCTGGAATAAGAATATTATGAAAATAATAAAATAAAATAAAATGTCACCTGGCGTTTAGTCTCACCTCGTTCTCCAAAAATGTCGCTCTTATATTCCTGCTCCAAAGTAGTTGCAAATGTAAATGGCGAACCCAAAGCAACTGACCACCCAAGAGCGACATTTGTAGCCCTTCCATCAATATCCTGTTGATAGAAACCACAGCATGTTGATTAGTATCAAAGCTTGTGTTTAATATAAAGGGAAATTTGCATACCTAGCACACAATTCTTATGTAGTAATAAAAACCACGCATAAATTTTCATATTTACATACATAGCGTTTTGGTGGGTTAAACTTATGCATGAATAAGTGTATTTCACTTATAAAAAAAGTAATTATAGTGTTATTTTTATGTGGAATTAAAGATTGGAGCGATATGTTAAACTGTGTGAGATATGTAAATGCATTAGAATTGTGTATGTATGTAAATGCCCCGTAATAAAACTCCACAGCGAAAGACTTTCACAATTCTGCAGGTATCATATGAGTAAACAAATAAAGCAAATTTAACAGAATTTTTTAGAAAAATAAGCCTTTTTGTTATAATACCTGGTGAACTGCAAAACTTGAGTTGATACCTGCACCATTTATCTCCTTTCCTTGAACGTAAAGCCTTCTCACAGAAGGACCCATTCCCTTGGGGCATACAGCGATAACACTAATATTCTTAGGGAAGTCAAGGCCCAGTGACTGTAAATGGCCGAGAAGAAAACCATGTGATAATCCCAGAATGCTGTTCGGTTTCATGTGATAGAAAATCTTTTCATAATTGTCTGCCTGTAAAGAAGCGCAATAATTAACAAATCCAGCTTTAAAATTTATTTGATCAAATTTAACAAATTTAGTTCATCAAAATAGACTGTCCATACATCAAAAGAAATGAAATTTGAAGCATTTGATTACAGATCTAAAAATGGGAACAAAACCTAAATATAGAAGAAGAATAATGCTAAAAAAATAAATAGGCCAAAAGTAGCTATGCATTAAACTCCCTCAGTTTTTAAGAAATGCAGTCTAATTAATTCAACAAAAGGTCATTCATGTCAATGGTCATACTATTAATTGGTCATTTAGAAATAACAATGATTACAAGTTTGCAAAACCGTAGTTCTGACCTGTGCAACATCTGAAATTAATAGCAAAACAAGATCACTGCTTGAAACTGTTTCCCAGATATCACCCAATGTTCCGTTATCTTCACTAAATCCAGCAGCTCGGGCTTCTTCAAAAGATCGAGAACCTCTCCTCAAACCAATTTGGAAAGGAAAAAATATTTGCACCATAAATTTTAAAAGGTTGAATAGGTAGATATGGAATGCCTAAAAAGAAAATTAAATCGCCCAAAAACAGGAAACAAATATAGTGGAAAAGAAAAATGTTTACAGATACCAATATCAAAAAATTTAAATTCCAGGAAAAGAACATGGATGCGAAGCAAAACTAAAGAAATAACTTATTATAGAAATCAAAAAGAATGAAAATGCGAAAAAAGGAGAATGAAAATTATCCTATGGATAGGGTACCCGCTCATGGTAACCCAGAAAGCATAACTTCTATTTGATCAATGAGATAATTATTCAGATTTGTTTTTTAAAGTAGTACAGGTAAGGGTTACTCAACAAAGTTAAGAATTGGCTATTTAGGCATACGAATAATCAAATCCAATAAAATATAGAGTAATGAGGTTGCCAAAATTCAAAGTAAATTGCCATATGAGATGATTATGTTATTGTGTCATCAATTTGATTTGTGTCAATATTATTGTTTCAAAGTTTTATTTTAATTATTTAAATGTCGTTCATTTCACCTTGACAATAATATCTGACCGTGCAATGGCTAGTGAATCCCTCAAGTTTTGTGCTTGAGCAGGACCCTGAAAAACAAGAGAGTTTGAAAATTTTCAGTATTAGTCAGCTAATAAACAATTAAGCAACCAGTGAACAAACAAAAAAACTCAATAAGATGATCTCGCAGGGATGCCATGTACTATAAGGAAAAAAAAAACTGTAAAAAGTATCCAAGGAAAATAAAGGAAGCTGAAGAAATGGACTCAGAGGTAACGTTCAAGGTAGAGCATTAAAGTTGCATAAATTTACCATATATGCGAGCGAAAGGCTTAAATTCATACTTTATAGTTCATTTCTTTTTCTGAAAGCACTTAAAAAGCAAGAGGTCATATGGAAAATAACTAAAAATTGAGGCAGAGAAATAAATATGTTTTTGCGTATCAACAAGATTAAACGGTATATTTTGTTGAATTTATTGTAGAGGCCCTGGGATCGAATTCTAACTACATCAAACATGTTTTTCACCACTAAACATTTCAAGAAAAAATTTGCTAGGGGTAAGATTTTCTGTTTGAGCCTTGGAAAAATAAATGTTAATGATTATTTCAAAAAAAAGCTACTTGATTTATTTTGAGAAAATCATAAACAACGTTATTATTGTGTCATCGTGATGTAACTGAGTTATAACACTTAAAAACAATATTAAGCATTGACCATATGCTTCTCATGTGTCACATTTAATTAGAGATTTATTTATTTTAAAAATTGTGAACAAAAATTGAGCAACCGAGCCCCAAGTGACAATTGTATATTACATAATTTGTATGATACAAACAATCTAAAAGCCTTCCATGTGCAAACTTCACTAACAAAACTTTCATTCCTACCATGAGATCAGAGGCTAAAACCTTCAAAATTGTTCTTCATAGAAATTACGAATAAAAATTTCAAGAAATTATTTTGAAATAGTATCATGAAATATCTTATAGATTGATCCAAAAGTGAAGTGGTTACAAAAAGAATAAGTAAAGGTAAAGCTTTAATCTACATGAGCATCAATTAAGATTTACAAAATTATGGAGATAACAGACTAATTAGGATAATGCATCTTTTAAATAGAATTTTGAAAACACTAGATGTCAGATGATTGGAAAACTGTCATTTTGTTACTAATATTTAAGAGCAAATGTGTTCAAGTTTGTACTAATTATAAAACATCGAACTTATAAGACATACAATAAAGCTATAAAAGAAAGCAACGGAGCAGACTTTAAAAAATTATTGAGGTAATGGAGAAGCAATTTGGTTCCCTGGCCGCAAAATCTATAAAACTCATTTTTATGCTAAAATATTTAATAAAACATTAAGGGAATGAAAATAAAAAATCATATAGTTTTATTGATTTTCATAGCAATTATGACAAATTATCATGATGGTGTGTATCCAAGGAATATTAATGTTATTAAGGATATACAAGACTAGTGTTAGTAGTTACAGAATGACACAAAGCAAGTTTATAGCAATAATCAATTTTGAGTCCGTATCTTTTTTATTAATAATGTATATGATAACAACAAACATTCGTGCAAGGACACGGCATGTGCTTTTTGCAAAAAATATAGTCATAATTAGACAAATACACCAAAATAAGTGAAAAAATTGAATAACGGAAAATGTTTCAAAGGTAAAACATTTAAAATCTGTACATCAAATACCAAGTATATAATGTCTCATTGTATAGGTATAAGATATCAAATTTTATAGGGTAAACGATATTGGATCTGTCACACTAACGAATGGAGCTATAGAGAGTGATCCAATTTATAAAATTCAATTTGGACGGTTAAAATAGATAAGTAAGTCAAGATTAATATAAAATAAAAAGACATCATGAGACAAAAAAGGTAATTAATAATGTTGGAATTAGGTAGCGTTGTTATATAAATATGGTTATTTAATAAAAAAATTGATATCTAAGTTAAGTTTAACGGAAATGAGAATATTAATATGATGTGTGACAAAATTAAAAAAATTAATTAAGTAATGAAGTGGCATTTATTAAAAATAAGATAATTGAAAATAAACTTAGAATAGTTTGAACATGTTTAATAGAGGGCAGAAAACTTATCTTTTAAATAAATAGATCAAATTAATGTCAAAAAAACATGAATTAAAAAGGGTTAATCCAATGTTTGTTCAAAATAATTAGCAAAGAATAAGCTCAACTGATACGAGACTGTAAAGGGGGCAGCTAAAACAACCACTGACGTCTGCTCCAACCCCCTAATGGGCCAGCCTGCCCCCAAAAGGAGGGACCTGCTGCCTACCAAATAAAGGGCAGAAATTTTATCCTTTAAATTAATAGATCAAATTAATGCCAAAAAAACATGAAATAAAAGGGGGCGAATCTAATGTTTGTTCAAAATAATTAGCAAAGAATAAGCTAAATTGACCTGGGACTATAAAGGGGGCGGCTAAAACAACCACTGACGTCTGATCCAGCCCCCTAATGGACCGGACGACCCACATGAGGGACCTGTTGTCTGCCATAATCCCCCCGCCCCAAGCCCCGTCACCACCTCCTTTACATTTCCTTCCTATTCCCCTTCCTTTTTTTATAACTTTCCTTTTTTATTTCTTACCTATTATATGTCCTTCATTTTCTATTTTCTTTCTTATTCTATCCTTACCTATTTTACTTAGTAATTACTATTACTATTACTATTACTATTACTATATATATATATATATATATATATATATAAAATGATGTTTGCTTAGGATAGAGGTTATAGATTTGTTTTCTGAATTCAGAGTCCGCTGCCAGTGTCTTCCCCTTCTGAGGGTTGTATCTGATGACGAAAAGGAGCTCCGACTGTAACTCGTCCAAGATAGAGAGTATCTCCATTTTTCTTCCATTTCCTATTATCATCGATTCCATCCTAAGCTTCCAAATTGCCGTCGCCGCCATCCTATGCTTCTAGGGCCCCAAAACCACGATCCTCCATTTCCAGAGTGTCGATGCCTCCTTCCTATGCTTACAGAGTGTCGTTGCTTGCTTCCTTTGGCTATCGAACTGCCGCAGTCACCCGCCTACACGTCCAGGTTGCCAAAATCACCTTCCAACGCTTCCAGCCAGTTGTAGGCTACCATTCGCACTTCTAGCAGGTCACACACCCACTTTGGCCCTCACAGCTGACCGCAGACACCTCCCTACCATCAGTCAACTTCTCCAGCAGCTCCAAACGGCCCTTCAGCCACTTACAGCATCTATTCAATTATTGTCTCCTGCCTACAACGCCCCATAATGGTCGTTGACTCCCCCGAGCACCTCCCGCCTCATAATGGTCGTTGACTCCTCCGAGCACCTCCAGACGGCGGCCGCCAGCCATCTTCAGGCCTCTCGAGCAGCCTCCCACACCTGCTGCCATCTCTGCCCTCCTTTCCCGCAGCCCGCCGATACATGCAGTTCCCCTTCGAGCCTCAGGCAGCCACCCGCACCTGCGATCAGCCAACACCGCAGCCCCTGCTGCCACACACCTTCCAGCAGCCACCCGCACCTGCTGCTCCATCTGCCAACAGTCACCTGCTACCCCATCCCACGGATACCCTCCTCAGGCCATAGTCGAATATGGTCAATCTTGTCTTCATTGTCTTGTTTTCTTTATTATTTTGAGTACTGATTGTATCATTCGTTATTTGCTTGATAATATTTGACTTTTGTCGTTGTGGGTTGAGTTAACTCTGGTATCATCAACACCATAGCAACATTCAACAAGAATGAAGATAAGATGAAAATACATAATGCCATCTCCAAATAAGTAGGATAAGCCGAATGATTATGATGATGAAAATTATTCTGATCAATGATATTATCCACACGATATATGCCACCCTCATTTTTTTTATTATTGACCTATTTAAAAATACAACAAAATCAATAAAATCTATGTAGAAATGTAAAGTGGGGTCCTAATCCAACATCGACCTCTTCTTTAGCCAATTTTATTTAATTGTCATAAAGGTTGTTTGCTTCCAACCCCACCAAAAATTACCCAATCGATATCATCTAGATGGAGACTAGCATCTCATCTTTTGATCAACTACATAAGCCTGATTTGAAGCTAGATGGGGACTATAAGAAGTAGTAAGTAAATATAAAACAACTAATTGATGCCTTAAATTTATTAAATCATATAAATAGTAAACCCTCTCTAAAATATCCACTCGAAAACAATTGGTCTGCATTAAATAGATGTGTGAGAAATATTTTTTATGCATGTAAAATTTGACATTAGAATGCAATTTATCAATCTCCCCCATGAAATTTGGATGCATCTTCAAGGCACGTATCAACAATCAATCCATGCATGGTTTTACAAATAGCATCATACACTCGTCTCTTGCACATCCAAGAAGAAAGATCAATTCAGGATATTTATGCATGCGCCCATAAATCTTTGGTGAAAAGCTCAAAATTATGCAAAAACCATCAACAATGATAACATAAGCACATGTAACAGTAAATAATAGTTTGATAAAATCAACTTAATTATTTCTTCCAAAAAAAGAAACTAAGAGTAAAGTTGGAATCGCTCTGAGGTAACCTCTTCATCGCTCTCCCAGTGCATCATTGGATGGAGCATTGGATGCTCTCATGGCTAGAAAAACAAAACTTGATGTCTTCACATCTCTATCTACTTTGAGTGCAATTTAGCAAGTAAAATCAGGTGAACAGGCTTCAACTCCCCAAAATAAGAGGATACATCTAAAGGCAAACCAATGGTTCAACAAAAATATTGTTGATGACACAATATGCAAGTGTGTTAAATGAAAAAAAGAGATTCATTTTTCATATGCAGCCTTTTTGAGGTTTGAAATGCTGTTGCTACTCCAAAAGCTCACAATAATGGACATAACTCCCAAACAGCATCATCTGCTATTATTGTTTCATCATATCAGCTGTAGCAGATGATCCAAAGTAGTGGTACTAGTTGTACCTCGACATTTGAAGATTTTTCCACTGCACCTGACTCTTACCTGGTAAAATATGTTCTTCAATTAAAGATTCAGTCTCCATAAATAAAGTTATTCTTGGACTTAAGATTGGCGTGAATCATTTATGATGCCCTATAATTAGGTTTTCGCATCTCTTTCTCAAATACCTACAATCACAAATATCTTTAATGCTAATGGATGTCCACCTTTACCTACACATGAAGGATTTTTTCCTACCTATTTGAAACTATCCTCAAATTTAATTTCATACCTTAAAGTATGTCATCACAAATCCTAACTTCTCAATGGACAATGCAACCTTTTTTTCTCTTACCCGCCTTTCCATCTGAAGTCTAGCTCTCCAGAATAAAAGCAAATCAACCAAAACCTACGTGATGCTAACTTATTCTTAAAATAAAGAATAAAAAAACATTCTCAAATGCAATCACTACATGTTACATCCTTTTAATATTCAACATTTACAAATTTCAGTATTACATTTCTACAAAAAAATCAACTTGCTTATTTGAACATTTATTGCCAACTGTATGAAGCAATGTAATGTTACTTATTAATTATTACGTTTAACATCAATTTATTTAGCCTTTACAAAACTTTCTTATCATAAAACGCTTTAGCAGCTCCATGTTCTGTTAACCACCCATACTCAATCCAAGTAATATCAACATTCTTATACTCAGTGTTCTCTAAAATAAATCTCAAAAACTAAATTTGAAAGCTTTGGGTATCTTTTCATATTCCATTATTATTAATAGACCACTAATAGTTTCATGTATTTCAAAAGTATAATCAACTGGCCCGCTAGCCTCATAAATTTGAAAACAAAAATGCAAAATCCTCTCTAGTTAAGCCAATGCTGAATTAATTACAAGTTTTCAATGATATTTGCAATAAAAATTAGAGGTTGATATTGAGTTAACTTCAATAAGTTTTTCAAAAGTATAATCAAATGACCCACTAGCCTCATAAATTTGAAAACAAAAAATACAAAATCCTTTCTAGTTAAGCCAATGCTGGGTTAATTATAAAGTTTCCATGATATTTGAAATAAAAATTAGGGAATGATATTGAGTTAATTTCAAAAAGTATTTCTTAATGTGAAATCAATTTTTTTATTTTGGTATGATCCAAGTATGAAATCGTCGATTTTGTGTCCAATGTTGGATTAACTACAAATTATCCATGATATTTGCAATAGAAATTAGGGTGTGATATTGAGTTAGTTCAATAAGTCTTTCTTAATGTGAAATCCCTTTTTTTTTTTTTGGTTTGATGCAAGTTCGAGTCTAGCAAGAAATGGTAATTTTTTAGTCAATTTTCAAGCTATATCTAGCCAAGCATATAACATTGTGTGTTTGTGTGTGACGGTATATAAAGACAATCAGTATACAATTTATATTTATATACAAATTTATGTCTAAATATGTGTGCATCCGCACATTTATTTATATCTGCATATAAAGACTAAGTCAATTTTTGAGTCGGTCAATTCAATTTAGAAGAAACCATATTTGACTAACAGCAAATCAGTTCCAAGTTCAAGCCGATCAGATTGTGAATAGAGTGTATTTCAAGCTTCAAGCATTACTATCAGTCTTGAAAACTTTTAATCAAAATCCTATTTTCAGACACACTGGAAGCATAAACATTGCTTCACATAAAAAATTCTACGTAGCTCGTAATAGATGCATAAGCGAATCTGAAACACGCTAAAGAAAAAAAGAAGAATGCTTGAGAAATGGATCCTTACCTGGGAACCCCAACCTATAACACCGATCTGTTTGATTCCCTTGAACGCATCCGGCAGTAAACTAAACAGATCTCTTCCACCTCTAACAATGAACTGAAACAAAAAAAAAAATTAGAAAACGAAACAGAACACAGAAGAACGAGCAGAAAAAGGATTGGTAAGCCGTGTAAGGACCTCTTCATGGCCAGCGAGGTTGACCTTCTCCTTCTTGAAGACCGAGGTCTCGAAGTCGAGAGAGGGAACAGGGTTGCTGATGATCGGGGCTGCCACCATTCGAGCTCCGAGTACGGCGCCTCCACCGCGCACCCCATTTGCAGGCGGATCAACGCAAATCTGTGAGAGCAGACGCCTCGCGGATCTTGATGATACAGCGGCGGAGAAGGAAAAGCCCAAACCGGAGGCTAGGGTTTTAGAGGTCGTCTTCAGGGACCTTACCTGTGAGTGAGATGCAACCGTAGGGTGAAAGGGAGCCGGCGCCGCCATCGGATTGAGGTAGAACAAACCCTGAGAGCGAGAAGGGGGTAATGTAATACACGGTGTAAAGAAGCTTTAATATAAATGGCCACGTGTGTTAGCCTGTTAGGTACTGTTACTCCGACATGACGGTTGGCTCCCTTCGCGGCTGAAAGGAAATGGGTTTATTCCATGCCCTCCAAATTGGAAATTTAAAATATACTGGCCATTTTATTTTGAAAAATTTATATAGATAACACATAATTTATAATTATTTATGTATTTAGCGCCTAAAATTTTATATTAACATTCCTAGCTTCCTACTCATGATGGACAGATATATTCAACTGTTAAAAATTTATTATGATGATAATTTTGATATAACATTAAAAAATTAAATGTTACACCTATAAATATAAAAATTTATGATTAGAATATAGATAACACATAATTTATAATTATTTATGTATTCAGCTCCTAAAATTTTATATTAACATTCCTAGCTTTTAGCATCAGAAACCTACTCATGATGGACAGATATATCTAACTGTTAAAAAATTTATTATGATGATAATTTTGATATAATATTAAAAAATTAAATGTTACGCCTATAAATATAAAAATTTATGATTACACATGTAAATACTTAAAAAATGGAGTTGACACAGTAACTGAAGAGTTATATCATCTTTTCATTGTAAAAGATTCACTATCATTTTTTGTTTCTATCAACTTATTAAATTTTGATAATTGTAGAGCATACATTTTTTGCTATGTTCTCTTGTTGTTGATTATCTTTGAAAGTTAGTGGTATTTTCATTTTATTATTAAGAACAACAAGTAAGTTTTGCACTAAACTTTAAATCATATCAAGATATTTCTTATCATGAATGTTCGCCCCTACATGACATATAATCATGTAGGGGCTCAAATGTTAGGATTTACGTCATGATTAAAAGAACAACATCGGATTCTCAAAATGAAGTTCACCAAGTGAAACTTCGAAGTCTTAATCTATGTCAAACTCGTCAATTGACATCATCCGAACTATTATTGATGGTTTAGTTGAGGTTTATCCTTTGGTTCGTGTTTCATCTTAAATTGGATAGTTCAGATGTTTATAATTGGTTGATCATAACACTTCCAACTCTACAAAAGAAAAGAAGACCCCAAGGGAAAGAAGCTACGTTGCTATAACATTTTTGTCAGCCCTACAAAACAGAGTTAGCACACCTTAGATAACATATATAAAGTAAATCAAAAGTGGCATCCTCCATTTTGTCTTCAACAACCCTGTAAAGCAAATTTAGCATGAAAATTTTTAATTGGTTGATATTTATATTAGTTAGGACAACTCGGTTAAGATGCTCTTGGTTTTCTGTCATCCAGGGGTATCTAGGGGTTGGCAGTTTCCCTGATATACTTAGTTCAGAGTGGTAGTCAAACCAACCCCGGCTGGAAGATTCATGTTAGCACCCATGGGTTGAGTCATCCAGGAGACCTTCGTAAACTAGGGTAGTTGGATTAAAGATGCATTTGATAATCATTGTTTATTAGTGTTTCTTTCAAGTTTTAATGTCTTTTTTAGATTTTAGGATTTGAAAATTTGAGATTTCTTAAGACTTCTTAATCGATTATATTTTGTGATTTTATGTTTTATTTTGGTGATTGAAATGACCCAGCCAAGATCACATAATTATGTTATTTCGGGATCATTGTGGTTTGCAGTTTGATTAGTCAAAGGTGGCTGAAAGGTACTTCGTTAGCAGTCATATGTTGCCTTCTCCAAAGTTCCTTCTTAAACCAGGTTGCGTTTTATGGTTAATGTTTATGTTTTATGATTTTTAAGGTCATTTTATGTTATATCTTTTATATTTAGCATCTCGGCCTCAGTCATCCCTGGTGGGTGTTAATTGTGCTTTTTGTTCTCTCATGTGAAGTCAAAAACTCCTTAACTTCAGGTTACTTGAATTTGAGTTGAGCTAGGTCATGTTGAACTAAATTTAGTTTATGTTGATTTAGATTAATCTGAGTGGGGTCGGGTCTAATCCGAAATGATTTTATGGTCGACTTGAGTTAACTCAGGTTAGGCTAAGTTGCCTCAGGTTGGTTTTGGTTAACACAAGTTCAATAAGATTGACCTCGATTGGGTTGGGTTAGGCTGAAATTTGGGAGGGTTTAATTTAAGATGATTTGGGTTAACCTGAGTTAGGTCAAGTCGACCCCAAGCTTAATTCAAGTTGGTTTGGATAAACCTTAGTTTGTTCGGGTAGATGATACACCTAAAATTTATAGTCTTCATGTACACGTTTTTATACATATTTTTAAAAAAATTGCACTTTAATGAAAGTTATTTCTATGTTTTTCTTTCAGATACAATCAAATGGATGAAATATGGTGAAATGAGTGAAAAGGATCAAAATTGGAGCAAAAATGAACTGTGGCGCTTAAGCGCCCAAGCCCGG